AGACAGGGTCTCCCTGTAGCCCCAGCTGACCTGGAACTCACTATGTAGACCAGGCTGGCCTTGAACTCACAGAGATCCACCTGCCTCTGCCTCCCAAGTGCTGGGATTAAAGGCCTGTGCCACCAAGCCCAGCCCAACTTTTTTTTTTTTTTTAAGGAAAGAATCTCCTGTATCCAAGTCTGGCCAAGTTCAAGGATGACCTTGAACTCTGATCCTTTTGCCTCTCCTAAGTGCTGAGATTACAGGCATATACCACCATGCCTAGTTTATGTGGCATTAGGAATCAAACCAGGCAAGCACTCTGCCAGCCCTGGTCAACTTTGTTGGTGTTTTGTTTTGCTTTTTTCTCGTCTTTTTGAGATAGGGTCTCCTTATAGCCCCAGCTGTCCTGGAACTCACTATGTGCACCACCGTGCCTGCCCCCCCGTCCCAAAAAATATGGAATGCTTCACGAATTTGTGTCATCCTTGCGCAGGGGCCAAGCTTTCTCTGTATTGTTCCAATTTTAGTATATGTGCTGCCAAAGTGAGCACTGCTTTTTTTGTTTGTTTGTTTTTTTAAGACAGGGTCTCCCTGTAGCCCCAGCTGTCCTGGAATTTACCATGTATACCAGGCTGGCCTTGAACTCACAAAGATCCACCTACCTCTGCCTCCCAAGTGCTGGGATTAAAGGCATGTGCTACCACACCCGGCTTTTTTTTTTTTTTTTTTTAATTTTAATTTTATGTGTATGTGTGTATTACTTGCATGTATGTAAGTGCACCTGTGTGGTGCAGTGCCCACAGAGGTGAGAAGAGGGTGTTGGATCCCCTGGAACTGGAGTTGTGGACAGTTGTTAGCTGTCATGTGGGTGCTCTTAACTGCTGAGCCATCTCTTTAGACCCTTGCTTTGTTTCTTTGAGACAGGGTCTCATTATGTAGCCCTGGCTGGTCAGGAATTGCTTTGTATTTCAGGCTGGCTTCAAACTCACAGAGATCCACTTCACTTTGCTTTCTAAATGTTGGAATTAAAGGTATGTGCCACCATGCCTGGCAGTTTATTGGTTTGTTTGTTTTATGGTCTTTTCTTAAGACAGGGTCTCCCTGTTGCCTCAGCTGGCTTGGAGCTCACTATGTAGACCAGGCTTGCCTTGAACTCACAGAGATCTGCCTGTCTCTGCCTCCTGAGTGGTGGGATTAAAGGCATGTGCCACCATACCCAGCTCATGCATGGGTCTTGAGATAGCTTTTTGACTGTCTCAAAAGCTGTTTGGCTCAGAGGTTAAAAACACTAAACACTGGTTGCTCTTGCACAGGACCTGTATTTGGGTCCCAGCACCCATATGGTGGATAACACCATCTGTAATTCCAGTTCCAGGGGCTCTGATGTCCTCTTCTGACCTCCATGGGCATTGTATAACACAGAGAGGTAGATACAGGAAGATGTCTCAGGCTTGCTGCTATCTAGTCTAGCTGAATCAGTAAGCTTCAGGTTCACTGAGAGAACCTACCTCAAACAATAACATGCAGAACAACTGAGAAAGACATGGAAGTCCACCCCTGACCTCCATAGGCATGTGTGCACACACGCGTATACTTAGAAACTGTTTGGGCCCTTTGTGGTGGTGCACACCTGTAATCCCTGCACTCAGGTGGCTAAGATGAGGATCACCTCCAGTTTGAAAGCACCGTGGGCTGTATAGTAAAACTTTGTTTTCAAAAAAACAAAGGAAAAGTTTAAGAGGAGGAATAGTAGCATGTGTCAATACCCTACTCAAAGGCAATGGCTGCCTGTCTTAAAAAAATTTCTTCCCAAAAAAGAAAAAAAGGCCAGGCATGGTGGCTCATGCCCTTAATCCCACCACTCGGGAGGCAGAGGCAGGCGGATCTTTGAGTTTGAGGCCAGACTGGTCTACATAGTGAGTTCCAGGACAGCTGGGGCTACAGGGAGACCCTGTCTCAAAAAGACAAGAAATAAAAAAAATACAAACTGTTCTTTTAAGATGGGCGTGGTGGTACACACCTTTAAACCCTGTTCTTGGGTGGCAGAGGCAGGCAGATCTCTGTGACATTTAGGCTAGCTTGGTCTACATAATGAGTTCCAGGCCAGCTGGGGCTACAGAGAGACTCTGTCTGACGCTGGGTTTCTTTTTTTGTTTTTTTTGGTTTTTTTTTTTTGTTTTAGACATGGTCTCATGTAACCCACAATAGCCTTAAACTCACTATGTAGTCTGGGTTGGCCTTGAGCTGGCCACTGTGGCCAGCTTCTGGTACAGATTTTAAATGAACCCCTTTGGGAACTAGAGAGATGGTTCAACAGTTAAGAGCACTGGCAGCTGTTGCAGAGGACCTGGGTTCTATTTCCAGCACCACATGGCAGCTAATAACCATTTGTAACTCCTCTCAGGGGATCTGAAGCTGTCTTCTGACTTCTGTGGGCATTATATGACATAGGTGCACTTATATGCATATAGGCAATACACTTATACACATAAAGTAACAATAGATAAAGTATTCTTTAAATGAACCCCTTTGTTTCTAGCTCTGCACCTCCTTGCCATTTCTTTTTCTCTTCTTTATTTGTGTGTATGAGTGTGGTGTATACATGTGGTTGCGTGCCCCAGCAGGCTACAGGAGGATGACTGTATTGTGCTATCACTCTCTGACTTTGTCTCTTGAGAGAGTCACTGAACCTGGAGCTGAGCTAGTGACCAGTGTCTCTGTCCCCCATAGCACTACAGGTGAGTATGATCACATCTGGAGTTGTAAAGAGGTCCAAGGATTTGAATTCAGGTCCTCATGCTGTACAGCTAGCGTTCTTGCTCAATGAGCCATCTCCCCAACCCCTCTTCACCATTTCTGAAGTACTTAGTACCTGTCATCCTGGAGTCTTTCTTGGATTGTGTACCAAGTCCACTTTGGATTCAGTTTTTTCCAGTCTCCTTCATCTACTTCCATCTTCCAACAGTTCTTCCACCTCTTACACTCAGTGGGTTTTATAGTCACATAGGATTTCCTCTGTAACCCAGGCTGGCCTCGAATTCTCAGCACTTCTGCCATAGCCTCTGAAGTGCTAAGATTATAGGTGTGAGCTACCACATTTGGCACTTTACCATATTTTATTTAGTGGAATGATATTTTGTTTTTTAAAATATTTTATGTGTATGCTTGTTTTGCCTGCATGTATGTGCACCACACATATGTAGTGCCTGCAGAGGCCAGAAGAGGGTTGTGGATCCCCTGAAGCTGGAGTTAGTTAGTTGGAGTTAGTTGTGAGCTGCTATGTGAGTATTGGGAACTGGATTCAGGTTCTCTGCAGGAACAGCAAATATTCTTGGCACTGAGCCATCTCTCCAGCCCCTGTTATGTTTATTTGTTTTTGAGGGGTTTTTTTTTTTGTCTTTTTGAAACATTGTCTCCCTGGAGCCACAGCTGGCCTGGATTTGCTATGAAGACCAGGCTGGCCTTGAACGCACAGAAATCTATCCACCTGCCTATGCCTCCCAAGTGCTGGGATTAAAGGTGTCGCCACCATGCCTGGCTATTTATTTGGTTTTTAAAAAATATTTTATGCCAGGTATGGTGGCGTACACCTTTGGTCCCAACACTTGGGAGGCAGAGGCAGGCAGATCTCTGTGAGTTCAAGGACAGCTGGGGCTACAGGGAGACCCTGTCTCAAAAAGACACACACACAAAAATTTATTATTTTTTATTTTATGTATATTTGTGTATTGCCTGCATGTATGTAAATACACCCATGTTATGCAGGTGCCTGCAGCGGTCAGAAGAGGGCATCAGATTCCCCTGGAACTGGAGTTACAGACAGTTGTTAGCTGCCGTGAAGGTGCTAGGAATTAAACCCAGGTCCTCTGCAACAGTAGCAGTACTCTTAACCACTGAGACATCTGTCTAGCCCTTATTTATTTATTTATTTATTTATTTATTTTTGTTGTTTTGTTTTGTTTTTTTCTTTTTTTTTTGTCTTTTTGAGACAGGGTCTCCCTGTAGCCCCAGCTGGCCTGGAACTCACTTATGTAGACCAGGCTGGCCTCAAACTCACAGAGATCTGCCAGCCTCTGCTTCCCAAGTGTTGGGACTAAAGGCATGGGAACCCGTGTCATGCAGTATCCATGGAGATCAGAAGAGAATGTTGGATCTCCTGGAAGTGGAGCTACAGATGGTTGTTAGTTGCCATGTGGGTGCTGGGAAACAAACCCAGGTCCTCTGTAAGAACAGCCAGTGCCCTTAACCGCAGAGCCATCTCTCCAGCCCCTTATTGGTTTTTGAGGTAGGGTTTTACTGTAGACCCAGCTATCCTGGAACTTACTATATAGACCAGGCTGGCCTTGATGTCACAGAGATCTGCCTGCCTCTGCTTCCTGAGTACTGAGATTAAAGGCATATACTACTACACTAGGCCAGATAAGTGTTTTTGACAGGGAGCATAGTTACTATGACTAGTTAAATGTCATATTTTGTTTTGTTGTGTTTTGTTTTGTTTAGGTGTTTTTGAGGCAGGGTTTCCCAAAGCCCCATCTGGCCTGGAGCTTACTATGTAAACCAGGCTGGCCTTGCAGAGATTCATCTACCTCTGCCGCTTAAGCGCTGAGATTCAAGGCATGCACCACCACGCCCTGCTAAATGTCATGTTTTAATATTTTAGTTTATTTCTCCAAATGGGCACTTAAAAATGACACAATCATTTTTTTCCTTTTAAAGAGTAATCTGTAAGCTGGGCGTGGTGGTGCATGCCTTTAATCCCTGTACTAGGGAGGCAGAGGCACGTGGATCTCTGTGAGGTCAAGGCCAGCCTGGTCTACAAAGTGAGTTCCCGCAGTTTTGTTTATAGAATATAAAAAAAAAAAAAAAAAAAAAAAAAAAAAAAAAATCTGTGTGTCACAAACTATAAAACAGCCTATTTAAGAAGCAGTGGATTTGGATGTCTGACATTGTTGAGTGATGATTAAACTGGCTGGTCACTTCCTTTTTTTGGCTCAATTTCATTCAGTAGGAATGCCAGGGGAAAAGAGCTATTTATAATACTTTCTGAGTTTAAGTTAAGTCAGGTTACTAGCATTTAGCTTTGTCTTAAAGCAGTACGTTCTTGGGCTGTAGCCATGAATTTGTGTGTGGTGTATAGTGTGTGTGTGTACATGCTTGTCCATGTGGAGGCTAGAGGAGGAGATTGTGTTCTCACCCGTATTCCCTTGAGACAGGGTCTCTCACTGAAGCTGAAACTTGATGTTTTGCCTAGGCTAACTGGTCAGCCAACTCCTAGGACCTGCCTATTTCTGCCTCTCAACTCTGGGGTTCCAGGCATGTGCAGCCATGTCCAGATTTTACATAGGTGCTGGGGATTTAAACTCAGGTCCTCATGCTTGCATAGCAAGTGCTTTTTTTTTTTTGGCCTTTTGAGTCAGGGTCTCCCTGTAGCCCCAGCTGGCTTGGAACTTGCTATGTAGACCAGGCTGGCCTTGAACTCACAGAGATCCGCTTGCTTCTGCCTCCCTAGTGCTGGGATTAAAGACATGCACCACTACACCTGGCCTACAGCAAGCACTCTTACCCACTGAGACATCTCCCCAGCCCTCATCCATGAATTTTTAAGTATCTTTTCTGAGGCAATAGTTATCAAAAATCACATGGATAACCCCATCCTCTGTTCTGTAAGTTACTAAGTGGTGAAGATCTATTTGTTATAAGGTTAAGCTCTTGATTAGCTCTGTTTATTTCATATTTGTTGTTTGAAAATAATTACCCTAGAGATTATTGACTGAGATTATGGACTCTTTCACTAAAAGTATTTGTAATTTGCTTGTTACCACCTGACCAAGGTGTCAGAAGGAAGGAAGCTTGTTTTGGAGTGGAATTATGCCTCATATTTCCTTGGAGAGAGCCATGAGCTGCCAAGTCTCCAGAGATCTACCTGAATGTTCTATCTCCCCATGCTGCTGATTTTTGTGGGGAAAGAGGTAGAACCAATAGGATGGTTTTTGTGCTCAACAGAAAACTCTCAGCAGAGGAACTAGAGCGGAAACGACAGGAGATGATGGAAAATGCTAAGTGGAGGGAAGAGGAGAGGCTGAATACCCTTAAGAGGCATGCCAGGGAAGATGAGCGCGAGCGGAGGCTGGAGAAGTTGGACCCTCGGGATGGCAAGTTCATCCAGTAAGGCAACTTCTGCTTGGGGCCCCCACCTGACTGACTCCAGGAAGCTATCTGGTAGCAGGCTCACTGCTGGGGGCTGGTGTTCAGTTCTGACCAGAGAACAGAGCTCAGCCTTGGGGCCACTTTTGGTTCTGCACCCAGCTTCTAGCCAGATAGTGGGAGATCTTTTATTTGAAGGAGAGGAAAGTGATTGGTATTTTTCCTAAATCACTGAAATTCCTTGGCTTTCCTTTTATGTAAGAATTTATGGCTCAGAAAACCTTTTTCCAATGAGACTTGACTTGTTTTCCAAAACAGATGAATTTTCCCTTACGGATTTTTTAAAAATCTGCTTCCAGATGGAATCATTTGAAAATTGTCTTCATGGGTTTAAAAGAACTTGTGTTTCTGCAGCTGGTTTCTGGCTACCAACCTGTTTCTTCTAATTCTGCCAGAGTTGACCAGTTGAAAAAAATGCTTTGATTGCCATTTACCTGTCTTTTTCTCCCCAGCCATATGAAGCTAGAGAGTGCATCTACTTCCTCCTTGGAGGACCGGGTGAAACGCAACATCCATTCTCTACAGAGAACCTCAGTAGCTTTGGAGAAGAACTTTATGAAAAAATGAAAAGCATCCCTTCACTTACTGATTTTCCTGGATTTTCCAGGGAGGCTGCTGATCCCTTAAAATTTCTCTTTATAAGAGTTCAAATGGCTTCTATGGATGAAAAGCCGCCACTGTTCAAAGTGCCCCTTGTCCATTGATTCCTGAAACATCTTACATCCTTTAAAAAACAACGTGACTTGATTCTGGGACCCTCAGGAACTTTCTCTGGGTGCACAGTGGGTTTTGGCTGTGTGTTCAGTGGGCAGGCAGTGGGTTCTCATCATGCTCTGGAAGGCTACTTCCTGGGCTTGGGATGCTTGTCACACGTCTGCCCTCCACCTTTGTGAATGGATCTGGTCCACTGCTTCAGTGGAATTAGACCTTCCAGGCACCTCTCTCCATAGCCACCCAGATAGATAGTGCTTACAGGGATAAATGAACATACTTGATTTAGATTATGTGACAGAATAGTGTCAGGCAGAGCCAAGAGAGTGACAAAGCCAGAAGAGAAAACTACAGAAAGCTCTAAATGAATTAACTTTGGTCTTTGAACTGTAAAATTATAATGTGCATATGTACAAATGTATACTTTTTTATATTCTTTTTTTAAAAAGTTAGCTTTGTGAGAATATTTTGTTTGATGATTTTACTGTGTATAAAGCTACATTGAACCGTGTCAGAAAGTAATACAGTAAGGTAGGTTAGCTTATTTTTCTCTCTGACTCAGGCAGGTTTGGGAGGAGCTTGGGGTTATTGATAGACTTACAGGGGTATCTAAATCTTTCAACATTTGGACATGATTTTGTCATCTGCAAATGTGTTAGGCTGCATTCATAGCTATCCACAGCTTGAGGTTGGACACACCTGCCTAGGGTATATATCCTCTTCTGTTAGAGTGTATATTGGGCAGCCCAGTGGAGCAGTCAAAAGATTTAGGGGTCAGGGCATTTGCCAGCATCCTCCTTGGCTCCTAAAAGAAAATAAAATGGAAGCTGTTCCTGGCTATTTTTGTTTCTTTGATTTTGAGACAGGGTTTCATGTAGCCTAGGCTAGCCCTAAACTCCCTTTGAGCTTCTGATCCTCCTGCCTGTACCTCCCAAGTTGCTAGGCTTATAGGTATGGGCCACCAAGTCCAGCTTCCTAGCTTCATTTTTGCTTTTCCACCTGCCTCTGCCTCCCAAGTGCTAAGACTAAGGTGTGCACCACCATGCCCCTTTTTTCCTTGTTTTTTATTTTTTATTATTTTTTAGTCTTTTTGAGACAGGGTCTCCCTGAAGCTCCAGCTGGCCTGGAGGCTCACTATGTAGACCAGGTTGGCCTTGAACTCACAGAGATCCTGCCTCTGCCTCATGAGTGCTGGGATTAAAGATGTGTACCACCACATCCAGCTTCCTTGTTTTTTAAAAAATATTTTATTTATTATTTTATGTGTATACCTGTATTGCCTGCATGTATGTAAGTGCACCCATGTGGACTTACCTCTCTGCAATGCCTGCGGAGGTCAGAGAGGGTGTTGGATTCCCCTGGAACTGGAGTATGGACAGTTGTTAGCCGTCTTGCCATGTGGGTGCTGGGAACTGAACCCAGGTCCTCTGCAAGAGCAGCCAGTGCTCCTAATGGCTAAGCCATCTCTCTAGTCCCTCCACTTTTTTAAAAAAGATTTATTTTTGTATGTATGTATGTATGTATGTATGTATGTGTGTGTCTGTGTATGTGCATGTGTGTGGATACCCACAGAGGCCAGAAGAGAGCATCAGATCCCCTGGAGCTAGAGTTACAGGAGTTTGGGAGCTACCTGGGTCCTGGAAACTGAACTCAGGTCTTCTGGAAGAGCAGCAAGCTTTTAACCACTGAGCATCTCTCCAGCCCCGAAGGAGGATTTCAGTTTGTTCTGCTCTGTTTTTTTCAGATAGGGTCTCTCTGTAACCCCAGTTGACCTGGAACCCCCTATGTAGACCCGGCTGGCCTCTATCTCACAGAGATCTGCTTGCCTCTGCCTCCTCTAATTGCCACCTTTGCCCAGCTTGGCTTTTGATTTTGGAGCACTAAAATGCCATTCCCTAAGGCTCAAAACCCAGTCCAGCGCCCCTCGCTCCCAAAGAATGTAACATTATTCATTTAATCACTTCCTCCTGATGCTCTGTGCTACGGTTAATTATGGTTCTTATTTTATTACTTGGTAATAAAGGCTACATTTATTTTTGTAACTGTATAAAGAGCAACCACGTGCACGGTAACAAATTTTCATATTCCCTCACAAGAGTATTTGATCCGTGATCTGGGTCGAATATAGAGCTCCTTCGTCCAAGAGGAATTATGTAATAAAGCGTGGGATGGCACGGTTTTTTAAGATAGGTGTCTATTGGTGCTGGCTATCTCTAAACTCGCTCCTCCGCCAGTGCAGGCCAGGCTGTAGGTGGGTGGGCGCGCGGTCCATTCATAAAACCTAGAGCTCCCGGTCTGCCCCTCTCATTGGCCCCGGGGAAAGGGGGCGTGCCCCGCCGTGTGTCGCGCGCCCTCGGCCCAAGGGGTGGGGGAAGCTCCGCTCTTGGGTGGAGCGAGGGGGCGTTCCCTGGGTTTCCAGGCTGGACTTCCTTCCCCTCGCCCGGGCACCTCCTCTCTCCCCCGGGATGGCGATGGTACGACCCACCCTCCTCGCATTTCGGCCCCTCCCCTCCCGGAGCTGTGGCGCTGCCGCCATCTTGGGTTCTTAAGTTGAGGGAACGGGCCAAACCCGGGCTTGGGCCCCGAGCAGGGAGCCCTTCCCGCGCTGGGCAGCAAGGCCGCCCTCCCTCCTCCCCTCGTCGCTGCGGCGCGCTAGGCCGGCCAGTCTCCTGTCAGGCCGGGGGAGGAGGGGCGGGCGGGGCGGACGCAGCCTCCCGGGCGGGCGGGACCATTCCCGGGAGGAGGGGAGGCCTGGAGCCGGCGGGCGGTGTGGGCTTTTTTTTGCGGGGCGTGGGACGGACGCAACCACCGGGGCGGGGTGGGGAGGTAACGGGACGGGCGCGACCATGGCTCGGTGAGGCAGCGGGGGTGGGGATCGGTTTGGGGGAGGCCTGGGGCCGCTCGCTGGTAAGCTGTCTCCGCCACCCCCCCTTTCGCCGCCGCCGCCGCCCCGGGCATGTCGTCCAACTGCACCAGCACCACGGCGGTGGCGGTGGCGCCGCTGAGCGCCAGCAAAACCAAGACCAAGAAGAAGCATTTCGTGTGCCAGAAAGTGAAGCTATTCCGGGCCAGCGAGCCGATCCTCAGCGTCCTGATGTGGGGGGTGAACCACACGGTAACCAGCTCCCCTGTGCGCGCCCCGGCAGCCCCGGTCCTCGCCACGCTCGCCCCGTGGGTGACGCCTGCCACCCCTCCGCCGAGCGGCTTGCTTGCCCGCCCACCCTTGCACGCTGTCCGGCCGGGCGTGCACTCCCCGCTCGCCACGCGAGGCCTGGTGTCCTCGTGGTGGATATCGTCGGCATCGCCCCCTTTGCTCCAGCCCCTCTGGCTTCCTGCGTCCGGGTGCTCTCTCGGTGCAACCCCCGGAGCTCCAGGGGAAGGCCTGCATGCAGGCGCCGCTGCCGCTTCTCACCTCCTCCTGTTTGTTGCATGGCTTACTCCCCTTGTCCCTTGTAGCTGGCTCCCAGATCATAGCCCAGTTGACAGGGCAAGTGGCATTGGCCTGCCTGTTCGTGGTCATTTGGTTGGTGTGGCTGCTCAAATTCCCATCCTCCAGGCCTCCTTATCAACCTGGCTATCCTCTCTGGCTTCTTTCTTTTTTCTTTTTGATGAGGAAGTACTAACTGGAAAAGTAGAGGTTTCCCTGAACCACAGACACTTTACTTGGGTCCCCTTGGGCGAGGGAGAAGAGTGAACACTGAACTAAGGCCTGCGGGAGTGTAGACCTGCTTCAGATTACTACTCATAGGAGAAATGTGTCTTCCCCATTCTTCCGTGGTGCTCATTCCAAAGACATGTTGACTTCTTGTCTTTTGTATGCTTTTCTAGGATGTGATAATGGTGATCCTTGTCTTAGATGAGTGGTGCCCCCGGGTCCTGGGTGCCTTGAGATTGTCCAGTAGCCTCTGTCAGGAAGTTGGCTGTGGACACTGAGCTGGCTGGCTTTGTTTATGTGCTGTTTGTTTAGGGTCTGTCCTCTTCCTCCTCCACTTGCTCCTTGCCTTCTGACCCACTCTTGAGGGTCCCCGTACTGGGAACAAGCAGAGGAAGTATAAGGACCTGAAGCACTAACCACCGACTAGAAGTTTGGAGTGAGGACAGTACAGCTTTGGGTCTCCTGTGGATTTCAGAATTATTTAGACTCCCTGGCTTTTCTGAACACTTGAAATTGCCCATAAGACCAAACACTGACCAAAGGGCCCAGGGCCAGCAAGACTCCCCTTTGCATGGCTTTGGTAGAAGACCTAGAGATGCCTTTGGCTGGAGATTGAGGATCCTCAGCCTGAACCAGAGTGTTAGACCTCTACATCTGATGTAGAAGAGCTCGTGTGTATGTGAGGTCCTTGTTGGCCTCCTGAGCTTGGGCAGGCTACCCTTTTCCTTGTCATCACTGTGTATAATGAGCATCCTGACAGGGTAGAGGGAGTGTGCTGGGGTAGCACACAGACCTCAAGAGCTGCTCTATACCACCAGCCCTCCTACTTCCTGCTGCCTCTGGGGTCATCTGACATTTTGAAGGAAACTGGGTCAGCAAAATGTGAACCCTGTGTCCCTTTCTGGAAGCCAGTCCTTAATTTTGTTCAACATCCTGCTTCTCACTAGAAAGCATCCTGTCTGTGAGGTAATGACAGCTAGCTGGGAGGAACTTCGGGTCCCTCATTTCACACGTGAAACAGGCCTTTGGTAGAGGTGTAGTTCGCCTGTGGTCCCAGTAAGATGCAGTTCCTTGTCCAGCACCAAGGTGCTCTGTTGGTTGATAGTGGTGCATGAGTGGCAAGTTTCTTGTTCCTTTTGGTCCCTCAGCCATGAGCCAGGAGAGATGAGTGTATGGTCTTGGTAGACAACCTGATTGTGTGCTCTGGGGTGTGTGCCTGCTGTGCATGCCAGTAGCTTTGAGTGTGCTTGGTGTTTGGTTTTCTAATGGGCAGGCAATAAGTCTGTACAGATGTGGGCTAGAAGCCTCTGAGTGGCAGGTAGATATGGCGGTCACCGTTTTTCTTGATAACTTTTAAGAAAGCTTGAGGGGCTACCTGGCAGAGCATTGACTGTAAGCAAGATCCTTGCATCTAAGCATGATGCTTCTGGCCGTGGAAGGAGGGCAAGCACTACTGTCCTGGACAGGTGAGCTTGGAGGTCAGGTAGTCATGTGCTTTATTCTTAACCCTGGCCTACAGTAAGGTGTAGAGGTTCAGTGTCATCATCTGGGACATGGAGACAGTACCCCAAAGGTGATAAGATCTTGCCATTTCTCTGTAGGGTCAGGATCACTGTGTTCCTGGTGTATTGCTAGCCTTTCTTGGAGGTTCTCTCTCCCAGAAGCTTCCTGTAATACCTTTGCCATCTAAGGTTTCAGATACCATCTTTTCTTTGGTTCTTCAGTTTTTCAGACGTTGATACGTTGATGCTTTAGTCATCTTGGGCTGTAGCTAAAATAGTGTATTGGATATGAATGCATATATGTACCCATAACAAAATCCAGTTGCCCTCTCATGAGTCAGTTGGTTTACTTCTGAGTGGAAAATACAGGCCTTTTTTTTTTAATTTTGGGACAGGATCTCTCTGTATCCCCAGCTGACCTGGAACTCACTGTGTAAATCAGGCTGGCCTTGAACTCACAGAGATCCGCCTGCCTCTGCTTCCCAAGTGCTGGGACTAAAAGCATGTGCCACCAACACCTGGCTTAATACAGGCCTTTTTTAAACATTAGTTAATTTTTTTGTTTTGTTAAGAGAAGCATTTGAACTCAGTGTTGTCATAGGAGTGCTTGGATAAGTCATGCAAGCCCCTGGTCTCTATGGAAGAAAAGTGGGTAGAAGACAAAAAGAAAAATCAAGACTTAAAACCTGACAGGGAAGAACTCGTAAGGAAAGGATAGTAGTTCAAAGGGTCTGGAATTCGAGAAATGGATACTCTTTCAAAGAACACATAGACCCAGGGAGGCTGACCTATGTGGTGTTTGTTGGTAATTTAAGGAACCAGGTAGTGTGTAGCCTCAGGAGGAGGAGTGCAGCTGATGGCAACTTTGTATTTACTCATTTGAGAAACTGCCAGCCATTCTCAGAGTGCCTACACCATTGTACATTTCCACCAGCAGTGAGGGTTCAAATTTCTCCAGATCCTAGTCAGCACTTTACTGCTTTCTTTCTTTTTTTAAAAAAATATTTTATTATTTTTATTTTATGTGTATGAGTGTATTGCCTGCTTGTATGTGAGTGCACCCATGTCATAAAATGTTGCAGAAGTCAGAAGAGGGCTTCAGATTCCCCTAGAACTGGAGCTAAGGACGGTTTGTAGCCACCATGTGGGTGCTGGGAATCGAACCTGGGTCCTCTGCAAGGGCAGTCAGTGCTCTTAACCACTGAACCATCTCTCCTGCCCCTTTACTGCCTTTTCTAGTTGGTATGAAACAGTATCTCATTGTGATTTTGATTTTGATTCTCTAGTTGCTATTGTTAACCATTTTTCCACAAGTAGTGGTCATTGTATATTTTCTTTGGAGAATGTCTGTTAAACCCCTTTGCATTTGAAAACAAATTGTGCCTTTTTGGGGGTGTATAGTCCTAGGATATGAATCTAGAGCTTTGTACACAGTGGGCAAGCATTCTACTATTGAACTGTTTAACTATATTCATTTGTTTGTTTGTTTTTCATTTTTATTATGTTTTATTTTTTGTGTATAAGTGTATTGCCTACATGTATGTAAGTGCACCCCTGTTGTGCAGTGCCTGCGGAGGTCAGAGAGGGTATTGGATTCCCCTGGAACTGGAATATGGACAGTTGTTAGCCGTCTTGCCATGTGGGTGCTGGGAACTGAACCCAGGTCCTCTGCAAGAGCAGCTGGTGCTCCTAATAGCTGAGCCATCTCTCTAGTCCCTCCACTTTTTAAAAAAGATTTATTTTTATTTGTATGTATGTATGTGTGTCTGTGTATGTGCATGTGTTTGGATAACCACAGAGGCCAGAAGAGGGCATCAGATCCCCTGGAGCTAGAGTTACAGGAGTTTGGGAGCTACCTCGGTCCTGGAAACTGAACTCAGGTCTTCTGGAAGAGCAGCAAGCTTTTAACCACTGAGCATCTCTCTAGCCCCCAAGGAGGATTTCAGAGTTTGTTCTGCTCTGTTTTTTTTTTTTCAGATAGGGTCTCTCTGTAACCCCAGCTGACCTGGAACCCCCTATGTAGACCCGGCTGGCCTCTATCTCACAGAGATCTGCTTGCCTCTACCTCCCACAATTGCTGGGATCAAAGGCATCCACCACCATGGCTGGGTTTCAGCTTACTTTTTTTCTTGGAGACAAGCGTTTCACTGTGTAGGCCTGGCTTGTTCTTACACTTGTAATCCTCTGGCTTCTACTTCCCCAGTGCCCCAAGGTCTAGCCTTGCTTCTTACTCAGCTTGATTAGCCTCTTCATTATTTACACTCATGGCTCATAGAGTTAATCATGTGGATAATCCAAAAGTCACTTATGTGAGGTGAGATTTACCTTTCCAATGTGTTGCACTTAACCTATTGGAATGAGTTTGCATTCCATGATGCAGCTAATGCTGCTGAAGGAAAGAGATTGGCTCAGGAATGTGCAGAGACTGTAGAGTAAACACATATCTTCCTATCACATCAGTTCGGCAGAACCTTGCCTGCTGCTAAACTTTCAGTTGTTCCCCTTGTGTACCAAATAAAATTTATTTTTCTCTTTCTGGCACTTGAGGCTTCACAGTCTGGCCATAGCCTCGGCGGCTAATCTTTACCTTCCTTCCCATCCTTCAGACGGAAAGACTTTGGCACAGTCCCCTTGGGCTGCTTGTCTCCCCGGTGTTCATCTTACTGCTAGCCTTCATCTTTCAGGCTCTAACTCCTTTCTTTTTCTGCCCATCCATCCTTCCACTCAACATTTATAGAGCAACTGTTTTGTTCTAGCCAAGTAAAAATGCATAAGATAGTTTCTTCCTTCTAGGACTTACAGACAAGGGAAGAAATCAGACATGTAAAGAAATAATGACTGAAATGAATCTAAAGTTTAGGTTGTAAAGACGCATAGAAGAATGAGTAATTAATTCAACCTGGGGGAAGCCCAGAGACTCTCAAGACAGACTGACATTTAGCCGGATCTCCATGATTC